TCACAAATTTGTGAGTCTGAGAAGCAAGGTCCAATCTGGGTCGGTCCTGGGACCAAAGGTTTTGTCTTCTGAGCTTTTGGACATGTGCTGGAGCCCATCTTCAGGAAACTTCTCTGTAGCTAGAGAGCGCTTTCCTGAAGATGGGCTCCAGCACAGGTTCGGAAGATTAAAATTCTGGTTATGGTGACCTACCAAAATTGGATCCTGCAACGTTACCCCTGGACATGTATATTCACCTTCATTCACTGAGAATCAATTTCATATGCTGCAAGATGATACAGGTGGAATAATCCTGATCAAATTCTTTCTTTGCTTTCCAAATGTTTGATGTTAAAAAAGTATTTTAGAAGAGCACCGTTATGTGTGGTGTGGTGTGGTATGTGTGATATGGTATGGTATGTTACTTACTGTATTTACTACATAGTAATGGCCATTTTTCTTATGAGGAAGCCTACAAAAACACAGATAAATTAATTTTCTTTTTTCCTGCTAGAAATTAGTGTGTCTGATTTATATCTTGAATGTGGACTATTCATATCATCCTGTATGAAGAATTCTCAATTTTTTAGCTTTTCTTCTGCTTACTGCACATTGCCTGGTTCCAGGCTGAGGTAGTAGTTTGTACAGTTTGAGGGTCTATGATACCACCCGGTACAGGAGATAACTGTACAGGCCACTGCCTTGCCTGGGGCAGAGCTTGACGACTACAAGAAGAGATTTCCTGCCCATGTTTGTTTGGTGCCAGGTAACCGTTGTTCTCTGGAAAGCACCAGCTTATCTCAAATGCTTGTATATGTTGCAGATTTCCTTGTAGCTCTTTTGTTTAGTGGAGAGTCAGCTCTTCAAACATTTAGGTCTAATCTTGTTCATTCATGTTTCTCTGTAAAAACTATGTGCTGTAATAAATGCTTGCTGATTCATCGGAAAATCCTGGAGCAGATTATTTCCACAAAATAGAAAAAACTGCAGAAATATGAGCTTGCAGGCATAAATTGATATCATTTAGTTTATCTTTGAAGAAAGGAAATTTGACTTATTATCCTGTAGGAAACATATACTTAAGCTGTTGTAGCTGACTTACATATACTTTGAGACTTGATCACCTACAGGTAAATTATTTTTTAAGAAAGTCCTATATTTACCAACCTTCCAATGCATTCAACCTATATTTAACAATTATCTACATTTAAATTAGTTAAAAAATGCTGCAATAAAATATTACACAATTCTCTTGATTTCAAAGTCATAGTTTATATATGCTACTAAATTATTTCCTTTTACGTGGTTTATCTGCTTTATAATATAAGGTGTAATCAGTGTTTCATATACACATTTTTATAGCAATTCTGAGCTAGAGAGGAATTCTGGTTCTATATCTGTGACTATAGAAATACTGTATCTTTTTGAGCCAGATTCTTACAGAATGTTACACTGACCGTATTGTTTACACCCACAGTAGCTGATTGGATTTACATATATTGTTATGCCAGGGTTTATTTTCACTGTGATTTTAATTGTGTTTAGTTCATATAAAATACCAAACCATATACCTGAATTCATACATAGCACTAAATCTTTGTATGCGTGGATGAACTAGGAACCGTGGTTCATGGCTGAATGTGTGTGAACTTAAACACGGTAGTTAATTCCATTATTAAAATGTGAGATGTGCAAGTCAGCTAATATTATTCACAAAAGTCTTACTCTAATAAGCAAGCTGCATTAGAGAGTACTTTTATATAATGTTTGCCTTGTTGTTGTTTCCATACAGATACTATCAGATACCTTTCTCTTCATGACAATAAATACATTAGATACTTTCCAGGACATAGCAAGAGGTAAGATGAGTTGAGTATAGCTTGTACTTTTATATTGCATTAACTCAGTGGTGGGTTGCAGGCAGTACGCCCTAGTACTGGCGTACTGGAGCCTGCCCAGAGCACCAGGTACTGTTCCAGTACAGTGCTCCGGAGGCCCACCCGCCCATGCTCCTTACCTGTCTTTAAACTCTTTGGCGGTTACACGCACAGTGCGTACAGCACCTGCGCGACACTCTGCCAAGCAGCTGGAGTGTCGTGGAAGCATGACTGG